ACATAGGAACATGCAAGTCGCCCAAGGGAAATCCAGGATGGAAGATTGAGGACCCCACGTAAACCTCTGTCCTCAGCCATGTTCTGTAATCTGGCTTTTATCAAAGAAGTCTGAACTGGGATTTATAGGGTACTGTTCTGAGTAATAAAATCATTCTTTCTGCCCATTTGCAAGTGGGTCTTTATGTGTATGCCCCATTTGCTAGAACTTAGGGAACTCTCTCCCTGAAGAGTATTAGAGGAACTTGAATTCATTCTAAGACTGTGAGCATTGTAGATTGTGAACTCTGAAAGACAAGCAGTATCTCCTTCTTATTGCCTATATCTGGCAAGAAGAGCCTAGGCCAGAAGCACACAGTAAATGTTAAATAAATATTGGTTCAACAGAGATCCTCAGCATATTCCCTTCTTAGAAGTATTAACTAGTTTACTTCTGTAACCAAATCCATATGTCCTTTTCATCCTGCTTCCATTTTCCCTTCCTACAAATACTGAAAGGCCACTTCCATCTCCTTTTCTCATTCCTGGGAGAATCTGACATGAATATCAAACATTTTTGAAGGATTTTGAAATTTCAGGAGAACAAATAAATATGCGATAACATTTGCTAATCAATGTTAATGGCATCCTCTGCCAGTACAGAGGAAACATTCTAATGTAATTGTTTCACTTGAATTAGTTTAACTTCCCTATTTGTACAACATTAGGATAAACTGGATGGAGAAACATTAGAGGTCAGCTCTTTGTTGCTGTGTTCATGGCCTGAGTGCACAGCTGCACCCTAGCTGATGAAAATGGGACTCCAAAGGATCAAGCACTGTTTCTTTTCCTGTGGAGTGCTGTTGGATTGTTCATCTTCTTTACTGGACCAGGGAGACAGCCAAGAGGGAGGGAGTTTGTTTTTTAGTTATTCTTGACCTATACGTTATAGGTTGCTCTTTATCTCCACTTGATTAATTTCAGCTGAGGCCTTCTCATCAGGTATAAACCCAAGTTAATTAGCCTCACACCTGGCCAGACAGCTCTGCCATTCCACAGCTCTTGGTCACTTTTTAAATCTATTCCAGAAGCCCACTCTCAAGTTGATCCCCAGTCCTCTAAGCGTCAAGGCATTTAATCTATATCCTTAAGGGAAAACATCTGTGGTCTTCCTACCACAAATGACCCACAGTTCAGCTAAACACTTACAGGGCACCTTTGGGTGGCGAGCCTTAAACTGAGTGCTGGAGATATAAAATCAAAGAAGGTACACTCCCTAGTTGTCAGGAGTTCACAGGAGACAGACATCTAGTCGGAAAATGTCAGCAAAACGTGACAAACGACCAATTCCTCCACCTTGGTTCCAGAATTCATCCTCCAATCCATAGTCTCAGGAAACTTTGGCTTTGTCCCTTTCTCTCCTAATTCTTCCACTCTCCCCACTACCTGCTACTTCATTTTAGCATTTATATATATGGAAGCCTCTCCTGGTTTGAAAACTGTAATTCTTAACTCACCAGTATCTCCCAGCAATGATTCTTCCTCTTCACTTTCATAGTCAAAGCAGTGAAAAGTAGTCGTCACTCACTGTTTGTCTCTCTTCCTCCTTTCTCCTTCCTTTCCATTGACCCCTCAAGCCACCCCATATGAATTCTACCCCCTTCATTCCACCAGAAGTATTCTCCCTAAGGCAGCGATATCTTCCACATCATGAAATCTCAACAATATTTTTCAGTCATCCCGTTACTGGACAGCTCAGCTCCAGTTGGCAGCATTCTTCTTTTTGAGACACCCTCTCATTTTGGTCTTCACAGAACCATTCCTGTCCTCCCTTCCTCCCCCAACTTCTTCACAACACCAAACCCTGTCGCCTCCAAGTGAACAGAGTGCCCTGGTCCTAGCCCATATCATTCTCATCCAGCCGCAGCAGGAACATCCTAACTAAGTTCCGGCCTCTTCTCCTGCCAACCCGCCTCCAACCCACTTGCTACATTACAGCCAGATGAGCTTTGTAAATGTCAGATTTAATCCTGTCTCTTTTCTGCCTTAAACTCTCTATGATTTCCACCTTCCTTGAGGATAAAGTTCAAAATCCTTAGTATGGCTTATAACACGCATCCTGGTCAGACTTGTGTCTGCCTCTCCAGCCTTTTTTCCTACCATTCTCTTCTTCCCTCTCCCCACTATGGCCAGTGTGACCTTATCGGTTTTCAAATGTTCCATGGACTTTTTCATTTCAACTGTTCCTTCTGCTTGAATGTCCTTCCTCCCCATCTTTGCCTGACTAACTCCAACTCACTACTCAGATTTCCACTTAAATGCCACTTCATCTAGAAATTTCTTACAGCACAATTTCAGTTAAATGCCCATATAAGATCCTATAGCATTCAGAACTTTGCATTTCTCTTTCTTAATATCCAGCATGCCTATTATTACTTATTCAACGTCTGTCTTCGTCCCTAGACATTAAGCTAAATGAAAGCAGGGGTCATGCTTGCCTTGTTCGTTGCTGTATCCCCAACACCTAGCATGGTGCATATTTTTGAATGAATGAATGGATACACTGAATGCTGTTAAAAATAACAAAGAGGGACACCTAAGCCTGTCCTCAGAGGGAAAGGAGGGCCAAGCTGCTTCTAAACCTATACTACTATAATTTCTAGGGGAAATTCAATCAAAACCAATGCAAGAGTTTATAGAAAGAGCTGGATGTTTGTAAAGGGTGAGAATATTTGTGGAAATCAGCTAAGGAGACAATGGGTTTTAAGAGAACCGTTGTTATTCTGAAGTTTTATAATATAAAATACAACAGAATCTACCGTGTGACAATATCCAATACCTCTGGCCAGTAGTATGGTTCATATCCTGAGGCCATATTTGTTATATTAGATAAACTCAGGGTGCATATCTTGAGCTAAGTAGATGTGTGGCGGCATAAACACAAACAAGAGTTTCTGGGATGAGACATTTGGCGTTAGCTCATTCCATAAGTCAACAAAGCCTGGACCTAGAATCAAGGCTTTATACAAAAATTTGATCTAGAGAAAAAGAAATCCACAAGAAATTGAAAAATCATAGATGTTTAGGGTTGAAAGAAACCTTACATTATCCAGTTGAACCTGCCTGCTCTTCTCCCTGCCACTGTTGGATGAGGTTAAGTCACTTTCCTAAAGTTTTGTGCCCAGTTAGTGGCAAATTTGGTACTAGAGACCCAGTTTCTGTATCAATGAAACTGAATTCTTTCTGATCCTTGACTCTAATAAATTCTAATTTCATGGAATTTATAAGCTTTCTCCAAATTTATCCTGAAAAAGGTTTTCTGGAAATCCTTGCCTTCCTCTAATCTGATCCTGGTTCACCAAACAGCATACCCTGCATAGAGAGACCCTTTAGGTGCTGCTAAAAAACACCTTCCCCTCACCACCCACACTTCTGAAAGGCTCAGGAGGTGATAATAGTAGTAACTGAAGGACTCTGAGGAACTCCTTGACATCATGCCATAAAGGAGAACTCAAGGAGTAAGTCCTCTATGGCGGCGTTGTACGACATTGTTCTCATCTGTCCTTTCTGAGTTCTGGGACAATCAGTCTCCTTGCTGTCATAGACTATTTGGAAAACTTCTCGTGTTTTAAAAACTTATTCAAGATGATCTAGCAACTCCACTCATAGGTATGTATCCAAAAGAATTTAAAGCAGGGGCTCAAACAGATACTTGTATACCAATGTTCTTAGCAGCATTATCCACAACAGCCAGAAGGTGGAAACTACCCAAGGGTCCATCCATAGACGAGTTGATAAACAGAATGTGATATATACACAATGGAATATTATTCAGACACTAAAAAAGGAACGAAATTCTGATACCTGCTACCACATGAATACAACTTGCAAACATTATGCTAAGTGAATGTCAGACACAAAAGGACACATATTGTACAATTTCATTTAGATGCAATACTAATGCATCTAGAGTTAGAACAGAGTTACCAAGGGCAGGAGGGAGGGAGTTATTTCTTAATGGGTACATAGTTTCTGTTTGAGATGGTGAAAAAGGTATTGCTTAATGAATACATAGCTTCTGTTTGGGCTGATGAAAATGTTCTGGAATAGTGGTGATTGTTTCACAACTTTGTAAATGTACTTAATGCCACTGAGTGTACACTTAAAAATGGTTAAGATTGTGAATTTTATGTTTTATATATATTTTACTACAGTGCAAAAAAAATTACTCAACAGCTCTCGGTTCCAGCCAAGATGGAATCCTAAAATTCCATCCAAAGGAAGGTACAAAAAGAGAAACCAAGGAACAAGAAACAGAGGAAACAAACAAAACAAAAAATAAAATGCAAGATATAAGCTCTAACATATCAACAATTACCTTAGGGACTTCCCTGGCAATCCAGTGGTTGAGACTCCGTGCTTCCACTGAGGGGGGCACGGGTTAGATCCCTGGTTGGGGAACTAAGATCCCACATGCCATGCGGGCGGTGTGGCCAAAACAAACAAAAAAACAAACAACAAACAAAAAATTACCTTAAATATAAGTAGTCTAAATACAGTAATTACAAGACAGAAATTTGCAAAGAGAATGAAAAACCATGAACCAACAATATGCTGTCTGTAAGAAATTCGTTTCAGATACGACACAGAAAGATAGAAAGTAAAAGGATAGGAAAAGATATACTATACGTTAAACAAAAAGAGCAAGATTTGACTATATTAATGTTGATTGAATCAATAATCATTAATTTTGAGCCACACTTTAAATATTCAACTTGTGAGAAAAAAGTTAAAACTTAAGGCTAGGGCTTCCCTGGTGGCACAGTGGTTGAGAGTCCGCCTGCCAATGCAGGGGACACGGGTTCGTGCCCCGGTCCGGGAAGATCCCACATGCCGCGGAGTGGCTGGGCCTGTGAGCCATGGCTGCTGAGCCCGCGCGTCCGGAGCCTGTGCAAAAACTTAAGGTTAAATGGATTCATATTCCTGTTTTCCAAACAAGCCAACATCAGTAAAGCACATTACCTTATTCAGTTTCCCTCTTAATAAAGCACCAGTGTCCTCTTCCTGCGATGCATCAAAACTGAAACATGCTCGGATGAGGACAGACACACGTTCTCTTCCTCTGTTGTGACACTTGGCTCCTGTGAAGTCGAATGCTGCCATACTGAGCTCTGCTAGCTACACACACCCTGTACGGACAGCAGCAGTTCAATCCAGGATTGACTAAATCGTCGTGTTTGCTGGGGAATGGAGCGAGGCAGTGCCTTGAAAGAAAGTGATGATACAGACCTGCCCTCCTGTCTGCGAGAGGGAAGTTAAGGTGTGGGAAACAAATTATTCTTTTTAACTTGCAGAATTGTAACCCCAAGAAGCAGAAGTTTGCAGCTAGTTCTTTGAGTTCCACTTCTCTTTCTGTTCAAGTTCAAGACCAGAGTTTCTTGAACTGACACATTGATCGGATGCACAGGGCCAGGAACCATCTAGCACATGAATAGAAGAGCAGTGTTTCTCAGGCCTGAGAACTTACTCCCCCTCCGCCTTTATGCTGTGAAGACTGGCTCTGGATGTTATCTTCTTTCCTTCTGAGGCCCGTTCCATTTCTAGTTTCCAAACTACGAACAACTGAATTTCTTATGTAAACATGGAGAGGCAGGATTTTTAGTTTAAAAGGGATAGATGTTGTATACAGGTAAATATAATTTTCAGGATCAGAAATTAAATATAAAGTTGTGAGAGAAATAAAAAACACCTGATGCATACATTCTTCCAGCACTAAATTCAATGAAGAATATATGACATTGACTAATACTTAAAGAGTACCACCTGCAAGAAATACGGCTATCCTGTTCAAATGGTCAGGTCTTGTGTCCAGATTTGACATCTAGAGATCATCACCTACAATGCCGTAAAGGCATTTCTAGCCACTCATCTTCCTGGTGACCATCCTAAGTACTGAGAAAGCATTAAGAGGAATATACCAACTTTGTGTATAGTCAGATTTAGGATCAGCAGTTTTGAAGGTCATAATAAATATAAGGGAAATCATTTTTCTTAAGATATTTACTTCCGGGGAAGCTACAATAAATGAAAGATATATGATTAAATAATTACTGGAACTAGACTCTAGTTTAGGGAGATAAATGTGTGATCCCCCTATCATTCCAGCAGTTCCAATCTTATATTACATTTTTCTGGTGGGAAATATTTGACCAAGTATCTTCCAGTTTGGAAATTAAAAGAATGAGTTGCGGGCTTCCCTGGTGGCGCAGTGGTTGAGAGTCCACCTGCCGATACAGGGGACACGGGTTCGTGCCCCGGTCTGGGAAGATCCCACATGCCGCGGAGCGGCTGGGCCTGTGAGCCATGGCTGCTGAGCCTGCGTGTCCGGAGCCTGTGCTCTGTAACGGGAGAGGCCACAACAGTGAGAGGCCCGCGTACAGCAAAAAAAAAAAAAAAAGAGAGAATGAGTTGCTAGGAATTAGATTGTATTTCCAAAAATGGCAGCACCTTCCCACGAGGCTGTTCTTACAATGTGACTGACATTCCTCTCACTGAGATCTGTGTTCCCTCCACTTGTATCTGGGTGGGAGATTGTGACTGCTCCAAACAGTGGAGTATACGACAAATGTGATGCTTCGTGGCTTCTGAGGCTGTGTCTAAAATCATACAGCTTCCACCTGGCCCTCTCTCTTTGGGACCTGTCCTTGGATGCCACCACGTAATAAGGAAGCCTGGGCCACATGAAGGAACCATGCATAGGTGTCCAGCAACTCCAGGCATGTGAGGGAGTGAGATTTCTGATGACTCCATCCCCAGCCCCTCGAGTCTTCCAGCTGAGGCTCCAGACAGCACGTAGCAGACACAAGCTGTCCCTGCGGCGGTGCCCTGACTGAAAATGCCTGACCCACAGGCTCTGTGAGCATAATAAATGCTGGGGGAAAAAAGTACTCACGTGATACTTAAATTAAGTTTCTATTAGTATAAAAGGAAAACATGACAGGTCTTGTCAGGCTAGAGGGCCACAGAGACACAGCAGTAGCTCCACACAGTACAGTTATAGAGTCTGTTAGAAAAAACTTACACAGAAGAAATAGAGCACATGGAATCCCCCAACTCTCATTTCCCCATAGCCTGGGCCAGGCAGAGATAATCTGTACCCACCATGGCCAACGTGCAGCCGAGAAGGGCCAGCCTCTGACAGTAGTCTGGATTCACTAGAGAAAGGACATGATCTCACACCAAAGATGTTGCCACGTTACACATTTATGTTGTTGCAAAGGTATGTTGGCCTATGGAATACTTAGGTTCTCCAGGTCCTGGGAAATGAATAACAGGATTTTTAGGTCCAGCAAGAAGAGTAGGGAGAATGCATATTGAGGGCCTGGGTCTATAGTGAAGGTCAAAGTCTGCATATGGAAGGCCCTGGAACTATGCTGAAGTGCCTGTGTATACCCAGAATGCTAGCATCCGCCAAAAGCCTTGCGGCCCCTTTACAGACTGGCTCCAGCCAGCTCAGCCTGGTAGAAGGAGATAGGTACTCAGATTTGTCTCCCAACAGATATAAAGAGAAGAAAGTGAAAACCTCCCCTAACCTTCTCCTCTGCCCTCCTCCCATCAATTAAAACAAGGTTGAGTTATCTTTCACCCTTCAGTTTGACAGAATTTTAAAGATGAATATTATTCAGTGTTGGTGAGCACATTGGGAAAGGTGTATGTTCATAATGCTCATAGGAGTATAAATTGGTAATTTTAGGGGGAAATTTGACAGTATTTAGCAAATTTTAAATGTGAGTATCCTTTGATTCAGCAATTCTACTTCTAGTATAAGTTTGTTTTTTTTTTTAAGAAGTACTTTAGCACTTGTACAAAAAGATGTCTGGGGCTTCCCTGGTGGCGCAGTGGTTGAGAGTCTACCTGCCAATGCAGGGGACACGGGTTCGTGCCCCGGCCCGGGAGGATCCCACATGCCATGGAGCGGCTGTGCCCGTGAGCCATGGCCGCTGAGCCTGCGCGTCCGGAGCCTGTGCTCCGCAACGGGAGAGGCCACAACAGTGAGAGGCCCGCATACCGCAAAAAAAAAAAAAAAGATGTCTGTTGCAACAAAATATTGACAATACCAATAGAGGAATGAGCAAATAGATTACAGCACAACCTTGTGGATATAGCAGTTAGAAATGAAGTAGATTTATAGATACCAACATAAATAGGGCTCTACAACACATATTGTTCATTTATATTTTTTGATTTGGAGTGTGCCCAAAATTCTACTTATAATTACTTTGCTTTAAAATTAATATCCACTTTACTAATGCTACAAAATTGCTGCACTATTGCTGGGAGTGATATATATTTGCTCACCAGCAGATGAAGTCTGGAACATATTGATTACATTTGAATTTCCAGAAACTCTTTCAATCTAGTACATGATAGTTACTCAAGAACTGTTTCATCAGTGAATGAAATGATCAGGCCAGCAGTGCCAAGGTTCCTTCCAGATCCAGTTCTTTGATTCTACCTGGAGAAAAACTGTTCTTATTAATAAAATGGTCATGATAATACCTCCCTCAAAGAGCTGCCATGATGATAAACAAGATATGCAAAATTAGTTTCTAAGTTATAATTTGCTGTACAAATTCCAGGAGCTATTTTGTGGTTGGTCTTCACTGGATAAAAACGACTTCTCTGCCAAGTTCAGAGTCACTCTGGGAAGTTTCAGGGAGCCTTATTTCAATATTTATGTAAGAAGAGGGAAGAAGCAGGAAAGGGCAGGAGGAAGGGTCAAACATTAAAAACACTGCCATAGGGCTTCCCTGGTGGCGCAGTGGTTGAGAGTCCGCCTACCGATGCAAGGGACACGGGTTCGTGCCCCGGTCCGGGAAGATCCCACATGCCGCGGAGCAGCTGGGCCCGTGAGCCATGGCCGCTGAGCCTGCGCGTCCAGAGCCTAGAGAAGCCACCACAATGAGAAGCTCACACACCACAACGAAGAGTAGCCCCGCTCACTGCAAGGAAGACCCAACGCAGCCATAAATAAATAAATAAATAAGTTTAAATAAGTACATAAAACGACGCCCTGCTTCCCTGGTGGCGCAGTGGTTGAGAGTCCGCCTGCCGATGCAGGGGACACGGGTTCGTGCCCCGGTCCGGGAAGATCCCACATGCCGCGGAGCAGCTGGGCCCGTGAGCCATGGCCGCTGAGCCTGCGCGTCCGGAGCCTGTGCTCCGCAACGGGAGAGGCCACAAAAGTGAGAGGCCCGCGAACCGCAAAAAAAAAAAAAAGTAAAAAAAAAATGATGGCTTAGATATACACTGGTTGACATAGAAAGATATTCTCAATGTATTGGATTGAGTTATTTAAACAGCATGTTATAAAACACTATAAATATTCAAATGTTCTAATCTATTTTACAATGTCTTCATTACTTTTTAGTTACTTTTGTAATAAAATAACTAGTCGTATTGTGGATAATAGATAAATGAGCAAAGTACTGAGATAATTCACAAATGAAGAAATAAAAATGGCCAATAGGGACTTCCCTGGTGGCACAGTGGTTAAGAATCCACCTGCCAATGCACGGGACACAGGTTCGTGCCCCGGTCCGGTAAGATCCCACATGCTGCAGAGCGGCTGGGCCCGTGAGCCATGGCCGCTGAGCCTGCGCGTCCGGAGCCTGTGCTCCGCAACGGGAGAGGCC